GAGTTTTTCATAAAGTGGTCTATACCCTTCTTGTGTCTTCAAAATTGACGAAGGTATTATATATTAAGACAATTTCTATTTATTAAAAAATTGAAATTTCAAATTTTCCAATATCTCCGTCAATTTTGAAGATGCAAAAATGGTATACTTCATTTTGAAAATCTCAAGACCAGGCATGTTTGGTATTAAATGTTAAAACTGGAATACTGCAAAAAATGTGTTCATGAAAATATGCCTCATGGATCGAAGACGATATAAATGTCGTCACTTAATTCCCATGATTGTTATATATTTTTATTATAATACTAAACATTATAGGGTTTAACCATACTATGTACAATCCTAACATTATAGGGTTCAACCAAACTACATTCCTAAACAATATAGGGTTCAAATAAACTACAATCCTAAATGTATAGGGTATAACCAAACTACAATCCTAAACATTATACGGTTCAACCAAACTACAACGTAAACATGATAGGATTCAACCAAACTACAATCCTAAAGATTATAGGATTCAACCATGAACATGCAATCCTAAACATTATAGGGTTCAACAAAACTACAATCCTAAACATGATAGGATTCAACCAAACTACAATCCTAAAGATTATAGAGTTCAACCAAACCATTATCCTAAATATTATAGTGTTCAACCAACCTACAATCCTAAACATTAAATGGTTCAACCATACTACAATCCTAAACATTATATGGTTCAACCAAATTGCAATCCTAACCATTATAGGATTCAACCACACTACAATTATAAACATTACATATGGTTTAACCAAACTACAATCCTAAACATTATAGGATTCAACCAAACTACAATCCTAAACATTACATGGTTCAACCAAACTACAATCCTAAACATTATAGGATTCAACCACACTACAATTATAAACATTACATATGGTTTAACCAAACTACAATCCTAAACATTATAGGATTCAACCAAACTACAATCCTAAACATTACATGGTTCAACCAAACTACAATCCTAAACATTATTGGGTGGTTCAACCAAACTACAATCCTAAACATGATAGGATTCAATTAGACTATACAATCTATTCAGAACTTGTAAACGTTGCACAAGCAAATTGAATTAAATATAATCAGTGGGTCTTTTATAATTTCTACGAACCTTTTTTATCTCAAAATTGTTTCAATAAGATTTACCTCTGTAAAGATAAGATAAACTCCAGGGTTGGGAGCAGGAGCTGGAGCTGGAGCTGGAGTAATTGTTCCTCCTGTAACCCAGAGCAGGAGTAGGATGCATCTTCCGAGTTCACAGATATTCATCACTACTATCTAGTCTTTATAAAATTAATTCGCAGGATTAGAAAAAAGTATGACCAATTATTTTTTATCCTTTTTGTGAGCTATCATCCCTTTAATTTACCTTTCTTATCCCAACCAAATCACTTTTACATTCTTATTATTCCATTTTGTTCTCCCATCTGACCGCTTTATTATTTTAGTAAAGGTAGACTATTAGCTAAGCGCCCATGAGATGTTGAAATTAGAGAAAAATGTTTCGTCTTTTTGTGGTTTTATGGCGTGGACCGGATATAACACTGCCAGTTAAATTAAACTCCTGGGATACACGAGAATTTGACCAAGAATTAAGAAATATTCTAAAGAAAGGACTGCATTGTGCATGTATCGTGTGACTTTAATTAAACCACAACCGGGGCCGGGAGAAACCGACTGAGCGCATTCTTAACAAGTTTTGACCTCTGAATTATAATTTGAATGCTGACCTGTTGAGAACTAATCTTCTAATGAATAATTCATCTTATGAAGGATCGTTTATTTGCATCTGGATGAAAGAAGTTGATCAGTTGACACAACAAACATAATTATTATTGTTTAATGTTTTGACTTGTTTCATCTTTGTTTTATCCTTCATTGATATTAAATAAAATCTATGACAAGAGTGTGTGTACTGTACAAAGTAAAAGTAAAGTAAAAGTAGAAACTAAATTTGAAAAATAGATTTCATTTCAATTTATGCTTTGATACAAAATGTATTTATTTTAACAGAAGTAAATATCAAGATTTTTAGAGCTAAGATTAAACTAATTTTTCTTGGATATTCTGTGATCAGAAGAGTCCGAGAGATCTAGAACTAAAGTGGAAATCGAGATCAAGCTTTGTAGAGTAGCACATGTGTTTAATAGAGTTGGACTGGACATCTATTTTTCCTTATGTTTCAAGATCTAATTATATATGTATTCCCCTTTTAGAGCATATGTTAAAGGGAGTGACCGGCTATGTAATGTAGTTGAACTGGGTATACAGTATTGTAGAAAACTTCTTTCGGATTCATTTGAAACATATAAAACTTTTTAAAGATCTGTAAATCCTGAGTTTGAGCGCAAATTCGACGTTCAAAACTCCTACTTTGGGGCTAGATGCGTTTTCAGAATTAGTTTTTTTTAAATTATTAAATAACAACGACAAAAAATAAAGTAAAAATTATACAGTAAACTAATTAGATGGTTAGGAACAAATTTCTCAAAAGAAATTTGTCAATAAATCATTGCTAGAATCAATTATTTCGTTTTCATCATTACATTGAATTTCTTATTTTTTTTTTAACTTATTCGCAGATTTTTTTCAAATTCTTCAAATGTCGTTTTTTCAATAATAATTATAGAAAATCTGCAGAAAATCTTTGTGAATAATGCAAAAATAGAAGCTAATAATTGAAAAAGATTAATTTTTTTCGATGATAAGATTAATTTTTATTTTTTTTTAACCTGTACAATTTTTACTTTATTTTATGTCGTCGTTATTTAATAATTAAAAAAAAAACTATTTCTGAAAACGTATCTACCCCAAAGTAGAAGTTTTGAACGTCGAATTTGTGCTCAAACTCAGGATTTACAGATCTTTAAAAAATGAATCCGAAAGAAGTTTTCCACAAAACCAAAACTGCATACTCAGTTCAACTACCTTACATAGCCAGTCACTCCCTTCAAATGTTTAGATATACACTATACAGTTAAAAAAAAGTTCGAGGCTGCAAGGTAATTCTATGTATGACATGACAGTGTGTCCCAAATAACATGAATGTTAAAGACGACTACAAAGGATCTTTGAAAGGATTTGCTGTTTTTTGTTAACCTACTTTTTTGGAATGATTCATTGCCATTCCCTTATGGATGTGATCTTCTTTTTCTAGAGTGCTTTAAATTTAAATAGTGATAAAGATTTGCATTATGATCTTCATCTATCAAACAAAACCTAAATTGTCTAAATCTATAGAAACGCAGAATTGCAATGAATCATTCCAAAAAAGTAGGTTAACAAAAAATATCTCAAATCCTTTCAAAGATCCTTTGTAGTCGTCTTTAACATTCATGTTATTTGGGACACACTCATGTCATACATGGAATTAAATTTATGTATATAAAGTAATTTTTTACTCTGGTCATTTTGAGAGCACAATTTAGAAACCTTGTTTTAAGAATTTTTCTTGTAAAATTAAAACTATGTTGACTAATAAATGTTGCAAATTATTTCAAAGACAATCTTCAAGTCATTTCTCCAGTGTCATGTTTCGTTACTTCGTAAGACTTCCTGTAAAGTGTACATACATTGCAGAATTAAACGCGCATAAATTAATGTATATCACAATTAAGAGTGACCCAAAGGCCGGTTGCAAGCTCTCACGCATTAATCGATGACAGATTTTCCCAGTTACTTCTTAAAAACTAAAGAAATGAATAAGTGCTTTAAAGTTTATGAATGTAAATGTCTAGGGTTACAAAAAAAGATTAAGTAAAGCGCACGCGGCTCGATACTTCAAAGTCAACCCGGACTGGAAAATTATTATAACTTTTCATTGCAGCCTATATCTATGTGATCTGTATGGTAAAATAACATATTTGGATCTAGATATTTCTAACAAATGATTATAATAATTACACATTATGACATTACTTTCATTTCTGGGGCGTCTTCTGTTATACGTAATTTAAGTGGCAGGAAGTATGACGGATAGATAGATAGTCCTATTTGGGAAATGGATGTTCTATTTATTCAGTTTGATAAACTCTTTGAATACCAACGGATGCAGAAGAAAGTTAATAATAGAAATAAAAGTGAAAGTTTTTTTCAGTTTCATCTTTTCTACACTATAGAGAAACTGATGATGTATTACACAAATTCTTCAAGATCTCTTTACTATCGTTACGACGTAAACAGGAGAATTTAAGAGTAACTAGGGGGGGGGGGGGGAGGGCAAAGAAGGGGCAAAGGAGGGGGTCCTTGATAAAATTAAATATTCCAAATTCTGTGCGCTTTGTGTTAATTGCTAACATAAAATAACAGCTTAAAAGTATGTATATATACAGAGTAACCCCAAACAAAACTTGGATTAGCGTTTTTTAGCCCCAACAATCTTCTAAAGTGACTCAAAAAAAATAGTCTAGGAAAAAAAATGTTGTATTAGAAAGGATCGTGAATGTTTTATTATATCATTCTATGCTGACTTTTGGCATAAAACTATAATTACTTTAAACAATTAATAATTTATATTATTCTTTTCAAGTCTATCGCATCGAGAGAGAGAAAATATAATTAGAAATATAATAAGGAATAAATAATTCGATTACTATAATTTTTATATTACAAATTATTTCTTACAGAGGCACCAATTTGCTGCCATGCAAAAAAATTGCATATTTGGCATTGGATATGAATGTTTTTGTAAAATATTGATTAGCTGAAGTTAACGCCAACAAAGAGATTTGCAAATGTTCCACATAATGTCACACTTAATGGATTGGAAGAAAAAAACTTTCTTACAAGACCCCTTATGAAATTAAAAACTATCCGCTGAAGCATATTAATGAGACTTTTTTAACGATAAAAGGTCTGAAAATCCGTTATTCCTGTTTTTTTTTAGGGTCACCCAGCTTATATCTAAAATCATTGAAATTCTTCTTTACAATATTCTGACAATATAAACTATTTTTTTAAGAAAAAAGAATAATGTAGAATATTAAAGAATGGAGAATAAATTCCTAGATTTCTGGTCGGAGAATCATAGAATAATAAAAAGGTAGCATTTTAGTTTATATCACGGCGAAGTAGAGGACATTTTTATCATTCGTTATGAATTTTTTTCTATAAACATTCAGCGAAACTTGATACAGTGAAACCCTTAATAACGAATACATCGAAAGAATTCATCAAATGTCTTATTCTTCACTTTCTGATAATGGAATGTTGCAGATATTTAGTTTTTTAATTAAATGATTATAAGGAATTCTTTAAAACTGTTCCCGCATATTCATGGCTTCATTTATGGTCGTAAATACTGAAATTTACGTAATATAGTATAAAACTCATTGAAAAATTGTCAAGACGACATTTGATAAATTCTTCCGATGTATTCGTTTTTAAGGGTTTCTCTGTATGCTAAAGATAATTCTAAGATAAACCAAGCAAAATACCCAGGCAAAAAATTTATAAAAACAAAAATAAACAAAGAGTGCTGCTCAAAATTTGCGACCAAAAATAATTCTGAGGACTGAGGAGTGCTTCATTAATTATTAGGCGCACATACACTTTTAATGTTTAATGTCAACCCCTATCTTTATATAATCTTTACAGAGGCTTTGCCACTTCTCTATTTCTTTTTTAGCTTTCAATTGTTGCTCTTCAGGTTGCCTTTTATTGCTATTCATCCAAAAAAATATATTTAAAAATAACAAAATGTCGACATTTCTTCGCGGCCAAATATTTCAACGTTGATAATCCAAACACCATCCCTGGGGTTGACAATGAGTTGATCATGGGCCCGTTTTAATTGTGCATTGCAATATTACAATACATATTTAACCCTGTAGCAAAAACTTCCTCATCCTCCCTGTTAAATAGATAATTACGAAAAACAATTCCAATTTTGAAATTATAAAACAAAGCTTTTCCTTAAAATGATGTTTAACTTAACATAAATGAACAATATTGAAGAAAGAGTTAATTATTCGGCTGGAAAATAGTAAAACCCTGGATTGCTCATTTGAAAAACTTGAATTATTTTGAAGAGATGATTATGCTGGGGAGCCCCATCAAGCTGGATTTGCTACTGTAGAAACTGTTCAGCTTTTGGCACAGGTAGAATAAGCCACCTTGGTTTATTGTATGTACAGTTCCACTGCACAGCTTGTGCAGTGTACATTTTACAGTTACACTGCACAGTTTGTGCAGTGTACATTTTATAGTTACGCTGCACAATTTGTGCAGTCTACATTTTACAGTTACACTGGCACTGCACAGTTTGTGCAGTGCACACTCTACAGATACACTGCACAGTTTGTGAAGTGTACATTTTACAGTAACACTGCACAGCGTAATTTCAAGTGACCCTCCATGCAAAGATCGGGCATTGCTATCTATGCAGGAAGGGTCACTTGAAATTACGATAACAGTTTCTTTGAATCTAGTTTAGGTCAAGTATATACTATGCGTACAGTACAGCAACTATAATTATAGTTCTGGACGGTACGGTGTACAAGGTATATATAGCACATTAATCTTAGTTCAAGTTAAGTGTGCAATCTACATTGCACTGTACAACCACCATAGCTCTAAGTCTGGCAAATTGCACACTGTGCATTGTACAGAAACCATTATTCTAATTTTGAAGTGTATACAGAACGCAGTACAATGTACAGTGTACAGCCACCTTAGTTCTTTATGAGGTTAATTGTACACTGCACATATTTTACAGCGACTATATAGTTAAGGTAAAGTGTAATCTAGTGATATTTATAATAATAATGTTTAATTTTTCACTCCAACCTTCTCCAATTCTTTCAAAATCATTTTCAACTTTTCAAAATTTATATCCCTAAATAGGCAGTTTAAAATGAAAGTTTAAAATTAAAGTTTAAAATTAAAGTTTAAAATTAAAGTTTAAAATTAAAGTTTAAAATTAAAGTTTAAAATGGAAGTTTAAGTTTGATTATTTTTAGGTTCTAACCATAGGAGGGGTTATTCTGCTGAGTGCTCTAGCTGGAGATGGTATATTTAACAGATTTAGGTTATGGTAAGTTCGACGTACCATTACAGCCTCTAACTCATTCATTTGTACTTAGTAGTGTAATTGTGATGCAATTTTCTTGTTTACAGGGCAGACCCTGCCAGATTTGGATATCCTGCTCTAGGGTATCAGTATCCTGGTCTACACCCTGCTGGTGGTGTTCAGTATCCTGCCCTACACCCACATAGTAGTCTTCCTTATACTAGCATATACTCGGAGTACTTCCAGACACATCCGTATCTTAGAAGCTCTCATATACAACCTGTTTACACAACAACTAAACCAGTTCATTTCTACAAATACAACCAGCCAAAACCAGTTTATCAACAACATAAACCGGTTTATCAACAACCTAAACCAGTCTACCAACTTCCAAAACAAGTCTACAAACCGCAAAAACCAGTTTATCAACCACGAAAACCAATCAACCAACAAAATAAACCAAACGATAACTCTGTCTACCAGAAACTAAGGCAACTCTACAAAAATCAACAGGATTACAAACAAACGAAACCAGTCCACTATCAACACAAACCTATTTACAAGCAACAAAAACCATCATACAACCAACGAAAAGAAATCTATCAAAGACAAAAACCTCCTATCCATCAGAAGCAAAAGCCAAACCAAGCCTACAAAACGCATGATATTCCCTATAATAAACCTAAACAAGTTTACCAACCCCCTAGATCAGCTTACAAGAATGAAGTATCTTCAAATCCACAGTATGGCCATGTTTCTTTTCCTAGTGTAAATGATCATCAATACAATCAACCTTCCATTCAAACCTCAAAAAGTAAAAAACCAGAAGCTTCAAAGTATCCGACCTTTTTGCCGGAAGAAAATTTTACTGTTAATGATGACAATACTAATAAAAACCCAGAAGCTTCAAAATATTTGAATTTCCCACCGGAAGAAGATTTTACAGATTATGATAATAAAGATAAAAAGCAAGAAACTTCAAAACATTTGACTTTTCCCCCAGTGGATGGATTTTATGATGATATTTCTAAAGATTATACAAGAGATGCCACCCCAATAGACGGCAGTATTGAAAAACAACAGCTGAACACACCTAACCAGTACAGTACAAACTTTGCTGAGAATGTACTAGCCAGCAAAATACCAGAACCAAAACCTGTATTGAGTATCACCAATTCAGAATTAGGAGGATATAAGACACAAGATTCTTACCGATTTAAGTCAAGCCCCAGGTAATTTTGTAAGAGTTAGATACTCCTAAACGGTTTAACAATATCAAAATTAATTGAATTTTGTCAGGAACTGGATTAAATGAGTTTTGAGAGGTAGTTGAACTAAAATTTAGCCGCGCCGGTTCAAATTCTGAAATACGATTCACTCTCTAACTAATTACCTGAATACTTATGAATCTTTAACTTTAAATCTGTGATTCAGGATTTGAACCGGCAGTGAGTGTTCAAACACCGAATTTAATAAATTGGAGAGGTTGTTAAAGTACCCTCCGTCATCTAGTTCAAATCCTAAATCACTATTTACTCTCAAACTAAATACCTAAATACTCATGAATCTTTAATTTTGAATTGGTGATTCAGGATTTGATCCGGCGATTGTTATTTCAACGACTGAATTTATAATGAATATGCAAGGTTGTTGAACTACATTTTAAATTCTGAATTAAATCTTAAATCCTAAATCACCGATTCACTCTCCAATTAATTACCTTAATACTTAAAACTTTTTAACATCGTACTGTGATTCAGGATTTAAACCGGCGGTAGGTCGGTCAACCTAAATTCGGTCCCAGTTTTCTCTTTTCTCAAACCTCAACACTTCAGCAATCCAACCACTGAATATTTACATAATCCTATCTTGTTTACTGTTTAGACCAGTTTACAAACCAGAGAAGAAGTATGAGAGTGATTTTGTTCCCTCCTCATATGATTCGTTTCATATAATACCAGCACAAGGAATGATTTTGATCGAAACCATTTATACGACATCACTTCCCTTTACAAAAATGGAATCCAAAATAATTTTTTTAAATGATCTCTATCTCGAAGAAATATAAAATATTATGAATATTATGCTGCAAGGGTAACACACTTGATGTAAAGCTTTTACAAAAATGTTGTCAAACATCAAAATCATTTTTATTAAAGTTCTTGCAACACCTCCACCTGAAAGACTTTACCCAACTGCAGTTATTGAAAGGTTTGTTGTTTTTTCTTTGTTCAAAAAACAGTGAGCGTAACTTTATGTGATCCTCCATTTAAATAGGGTCATGTCCGATTCGAAACAGGATCCTTGAAACCCATGATCCGATTAATAATGTAGCCATAAACAGGCTGGGGAGGGGGGCGTTTGGCGTCCCCCCCCTTGTAGTTTTTTCACCTAGCATTTTTGACTTAATAAATAGAAATTTAAAGGATTTTTATTTACATTTTTTTTATTTATAGGGTAAGGGTACAGGGCGGAAAAAAAGTCTGGTCTGTGAAAAAATCTAAAATAGCACATAACTTTTTTGTGACTAAAGCTAAAGATCTAAAAACTATATTTTTAAAGAGTCGTGAAAAATTCATGTAGAAACATGTGTCACACTTTGATGTTTTTTTTTCACTTTTTTGACCATTTTTAGGCATTTTTTTCAACCCTCCCTAGCACCCAAACAATTAAAGTTATCGATCTAATTTTTTTTTCTATGAGCTGGCCTTCAAAAATTGGGCTATGAACATGCATTTCAACCCTACACCTATTCTCTAAGGACTTTTTCTATGGAGGGGGGCGCCAAACGCCCCCCAGGCTATACATAGATTCAGAGTCCCTTTTTTTTGGTGTCAAGAGTGTTTGTTCGATTCTGATAATTTCTCCTTTGTTTCTAAATCAAGAATAACTTTAGAAGACAAACCCCCAATTGTGAAAATACTCAGTTTTTAGCATAAAAACATGGATATTTGATCTAATTCATGCTTAATCAGACTTGTAAGGGTACAGTAGTGAATAGGACATGCCACTCTATCATAGAGGTTTCCTAAAATACTTTAAAAGTTCATATTTTAAACCTGAATATTACTCGTTTAGGATTAATAAAGACTCTGTACAAGTAAAACACTCAGAACAGGCCTGGACTTCAAATGATTATCTAGACCCCAGTTGGCAGTACAGTACAACACAATCTCCTCCCTACCAAACATTACCTTACTCGAACCCCAGCTCAGATTGGACTCCGATCAAGTTAAACAACAATAACATTGTTAAAGATAAAGTAACAACTAGATACAGTGAAAACTTGGGTAACAGTCTTATAGATGAATATGAGGGCGGCAGAACAAAAGATTACACTGATCAATATTATGAATACAATGATTATGATGAATACAACATATCTGACAATGATTCCGAAGTATATGACACTAGCAAGCTTTTAACAGGTAAAAACAACAAGAGTTTACCTCATAAACTAACAAATGCTAAACATTTTTAATTTATTAACCTGTAACATCCCATCTGAAATATTTCACTTAGTGGAAAATAATTATACATTCCTCGAGAGTTTATCAATTTCTTAACTAATTTTACTAGGTCTATGATAAAAACATTTACATTTAGTTTATGTTGTTTAAAAATTGGAATTCACCCATAAAATCATCCGATAGTCATATCTTGTTAATTCATATCAAACAATCAACTCATTTTTCAATCCATATTCAATAAAACAGTCAACCAATCTTTCAATCCATATTCAATAAAACAATCAACCAATCTTTCAATCCATATTCAATAAAACAGTCAACCAATCTTTCAATCCATATTCAATAAAACAGTCAACCAATCTTTCAATCAATTTATTAATCAGTCAATTAATCAAACAGTAAACCAATAAATAAATAAAAAATCAATCCAATCTTCAATAAATCAATGAATCGATTAATAAATTTATTTTTTTCAGAAGATCCTGAGTCTGGAGGATATATTAATAACCTGCAACCTCAATATATCAAGGAATAGAAATAAAAATAAATAAATAAATTATAAAAAAGTTAAATTTTTGAATTCCAAACTATGATGACAATATTTTATATTTTTTTATCTTTAAGGGAGGAGAGCCAACACCAACCTCTAAAGAATCAATATCAAAGGTAAAAACAAATAGTTTATGCTAAAGTTTAAAAAAATAACAACAGAAAAATAAAATTTTCTCAGAAAAATTATAAAATGAAAAAAATTATATTTTCAGGAAACTCTTCCCGACTATGCACCGCACAATACCTTTATCCAACCAGCCTACTCGGGTTCCTATACACAAGTAATGAAAAATTAATCAATTGAATCTAACATTATTTAAAAAAAAAATCAATTCTGTTACTTTAAAAAAGAACTTAATATTTGTTGGTTACCTCAACAAAATAAACGTATTCTCAATCCAGAAAAACGTTATTTCAAAACTTGATATTTAGTATTTACAATTATTCTTATATATTAGTATTCTAATTATCATAAAACCAATTTTCGTTTTTATAGCTTTTTCCAATTTTTGCCAGAGCCTCAAATATGAACCGATTTACATATTTTTGGACATAAAGAATATCTACTTGATAACATCTACTGTTAAATCTAATAGTGCAAAGAATAATTGTTAAAAATTAAATGTAAGTTTAATGTTTTGATACGTAACAACTATAATGAATAAAAAAGATTTTTCATCTTGCAAGGATTTTAAGCTGGATTAAGCAGATAGTTAATTGTAATGTCCAAAATAAAATCAGTGGAAAACTGAGGTTTTGGCATCAATTACTATGAAAAAAAACTAAAAAGCATAAAGGGATTTTCAAAAATTAAAACTGTCAAAAACTTGCTAAACATATGATGCAATGTTTTTGTTTGTTTCGTTAGATCTGATTTTTATAATAAAAAATTTTTGCACATAGAAATGCATTTTCGGCAAAATTGTCGAAAAAGTAAAGTTTTCTCTGAAAGCAACCTGCCGTGATTATACTATTCCTGATTATGCTATACTGGGAAAGATAAATATTTATGAGAGGTTGCTCTTATTCAGAAGAAGGGGGGTTGGGCGAGTTGGGCTCAGGGGTCTATGGCACATCCAATAAGAAATGGATTATAAGATAGTGAATTTTTATTTAAAAGATAAAATATAATTTAGTTATGAATCTAAACATTATCAGGCTGTCAGTGTACAACAAAATGAATGGATGAACGGACATCAGGATGTCCAAGAGAAAGAATGGAAGGATGACTACAAAGTTTTCCAGAAGGATGAAGGGATGAATAAACCGACCAAAGATGAGTTGAGTTTAAAAGACTCCAGGTAACACAATTTAATCTGAATGAAAGAATTGAAATGATTGACATTAAAAAAAGTATAAGAATAAAAATTTAGCTTATAAATATTTAAAAAAAAAACAGATTTATGTGAATATACCGTTGCATTGCTTTTCCATAATGAAAAAACTATAATGCCTTTTCAAGATTTGTATCATTTAAAAACATTATTTATCAAACCTTCTTGTACTAAAAAAATAATATTGCTAAGAAAAGGTGTAAGGTGTACGCTACTTTGATAACACCCTTCCTCTATAAACGCTCCCAGATATAAAGCTACTAAGGAACAAAAATACTTTTCAATTTTAGATTTAAACATTAGATTGGATTTTAAATTTTTGTCGTAGTTATGATGAACTTAACCTGGAAGAATCAGGGAATCAACAAATACAAATTCAGGTAAGAAGACGACATTTTAAAAACCAATATGATAAAATATTCAGCATGCATGCAGGAATTAATGTCATCCCTAAGATTTAACTTACTGCAGAAATATATAAACTTAAATATTATCATTTAACATAACAATATTTGCTTTCAACGTCAATCAAATTTTTTCTGGCTTTACCTTAAAAACCAGACTAGATTCTTTATAATAATTTAAGGTAATTAATTTACATTAAATTGGTATTTGGATTAGAACTGTGGTTATCACCTTTAATAGAAAAATGTTTGCCAGACATTTTATTTTTAGGATTTATATCCGGAATTCAGAGAAACGGATATATTGCTTGATGACGGGGAGACCTTGGAGGATCGGATAAATTCGGAGGATCAGGTAAATTTGGAGGATCGGGTACATTAGAGGATCAGGTAAACTGGAGGATTATGAAAATTTCGAGGATCAGGTAATAATTTGGAGGATTATGAAAATCAAAAGATCAAGCAAACTCAGAGGATCTAGTAGATTTGGAATATAAAGCAAGCTTAGAGAATCTACTAAATTCGGAGGATCAGGTATACTCAAGAGGTTTAAGTAAATTCGGAGGATTAAGTATACTCAAGAGGTTTAAGTAAATTCAGAGGATCAAGAATACTCAAGAGGTTTAAGTAAATTCGGAGGAGTTAGTATACTCAAAAGGTTTAAGTAAATTCGGAGAATTAAGTATACTCAAGAGGTTTAAGTAAATTCGGAGGATCAGGTATACTCAAGAGGTTTAGTAAATTCTGAGGATTAAGTATACTCAAGAGGTTTAAGTAAATTCGGAGGATTAAGTATACTCAAGAGGTTTAAGTAAATTCGGAGGATTTAGTATGCTCAAAAGGTTTAAGTAAATTCGAAGGATTTAGTATGCTCAAGAGGTTTAAGTAAATTCAGAGGATTGGGTATATTAGGAGGATAAAGTAAATTTGGAGGAAACTCAAGTAACTTTTGAGAAGTTAGTAAATGGGGAAAAAAAGGTTTCACTTCCCCCCCCCCCGCGACTTTCGGGTGATGTTAATTCTATAAAATATTAACCCCTGTTTTCTAGAACAAATATAAGAGACATGGACTACCTCCTACTGCCGAGGATGATGAAGAAGATGAAGAAAATATTGAAGTTGTAACTCCTGTTTATACATTTCAAGAGTTTAACATTGATGATATACACAACTATACCTACCAGGGGTTTAAACAAGTACATAAATATCCGCTTATCTAGTGTACAGTACATCTTTATATACGTAAAATTGTAATCTTTGTTAGTAGATCCGATCATACCTAAAGAGCCCTTAGAACAATTTTCCTCAAATTTTTGGTTAAGGGAACTGGTAGTACCATGGGAATGTTCTTAGCTTAAAGGGAGTGACCGGCAATGCCTGCTAGTTGAACTGAGAATGTTGATTGTGGAGAATTTTGTTAGGAATCATTTGAGACGATTTTACTGTGCATACTGCATATTTGTTCACCAAGAGCGCAAATTCAATCTTTAAAATCCTCTTAGATTGATCATTTTTGTGGGATGATTTTGAGAAGCGGATTTTAAAAACTTTTCAATAACAACGACGAAAAATGTAGTAATAATTCTACAGTAAACTATGTAGTTGTTTAAGGACAGGCAGAAAAAAAAATTACTATTATCACCGAAAATAAGTAATTTTAATCTGATATTGGGTTCTGTAATGTCTCATTGTTCACAAGCATCTTCTGTAGATTTCTTGAATTTTTTATTGAAAATGCGACATTTGAAGAATTTGAAGAAATCTGCAAACAAATTCATAAATATTAAGCAATTCAATATCATGAGGAAAAAGAAATAATTGATTAAAACATTGATTTATTGAGAAAATTTCAATTGAGAAGTATGTTACTAAACATCTAACAAGTTCAATGTAGATTTTTCTTTACAATTTTTGTTGTCGTTATATAGTATTAAAAAAAAGATTCTCAAAACGGTACCACCCAAAGGCATGATTTTGAACGTTGACTTTGCCCTCAAACTCAGTAATTATACATACATCATTAAAACATTTGATATGCCTCAAATGAATCCTGAACCATGTCACCACAATATTACATTCTCAGTTTCACTACCATACATTGCCGGTCACTCCCTTTAAATTTGAGTTTTATATAATGATCTTATATTTATGATCTAATTGGTGAACAATTCAGGGGTGAATATTTGTCAACAAGTAATCAGTGTATGATATAACAAGATATAATTCAATGAAGGTTTTTTTTCTTAATTTTCGAGAATGCAAAAGAAATCTCTAAAGCAAAAACAAAGCAGAAAGCAACCGAAATTTGTTTCCAAAACAATCTATTAATTCTCTGTAGTCAATTTTCAAATCTAGGATATTGTTATTCGTTTAATTAAAATAACGTTTATCTAGTTATTTAATTGTTTCTATGTCTGAATCCGAAATTAGAATCTCATAAATTATAATATTGTATCTCAGATTAATTTAATAAAAGTCGACCAACATCATTAAAATAATAACTCAACTCTTTAATCAAAAGATGTTAACTTTAAAAATAATTAATAGTCATGACGTAAACGTTTTCAATGTTATTTTATGATTGCAATGAAAATATCAGTCACATGGCATTACATATGTAGATAGATACGACATTTTATCTGATATAAAAGCTATTTAGATTTCCGAAAATTTATCAAACTTTTCCATACGTCCGATATGTCACAGATATGAGGTGTATGTCGTACGGTCTATTTTATAAATTAACACGTTCTCGTCACCAACATGATTGACTCATTTTTGTCTAATTCTTAAAAACTGTCGAGAAATATTAAAGAAACATTTATATTGTTAGGAAAGGACAAATACATCAAAATTAATTTCTAACATTTAACAACAATGGTTTTAATAACAGCAGTGTCAAGACTAGGCCAGTATAGAGGGGGGGGGGTGGTAGCATTGGTATAACATTCTGAAGATAAAGGAAAATGTGACTAAATCTATGTGAGGGGGGGGGGGGAGCCTGAAGGAGGGCTTAGATATATTTTGAGGTAGGTTTCTAGCGGGTAGCCGTATATACGGGACAAAATTCTAAAATCAGAAAATTAACATAAATTGATCAAAGTTTTGGTTTAAAACTTAATTCATTTTACAATCATAACAGAAGTATTTTCTATATTTAAGTAAAGAGTCAAATTCTCCAAGCTCTTGTCCGTCCAATTTTATAGTTTTGTTCTATAATATGTTTGTATTGGTAAATATTGTTCATTTCAAATCAAGAAAAAAGGGAAAATCTTAAAATATCAGTTCATATCATATGAACTTAAGAATTCAACGCATTGATGCCGTATTTTAATTTTCTCTCCTTATGACACTTATTATTCACAAATTGACTAATTGCTTTTAAGTAGAATTGTAGTGTTGGGTCCTGAAAAACGTAGACCATAATTACATTAAATCCATATCGTGCAAATATTTGTTTACAAACTTACAAACAATTTAATAATATTATTACAACAATTAAATATTTGATAACAATAATCTGACTAATTACGTTGCTCATTTTGCTGTTGATGAACTTTAAATGTATGCACCGAGCCTATGTGCTTCCTAAGATCTCCTGGCTTCACACATGCGTACTCACAATGAGAACATTTATAATTCCGCGTTTGCGTATGAATAAATCGCACATGCTCAGACATGTTTGAAACATGCTTTCCACACTCTTTACACATCTTTTTAATGCCGCCGTGTACGCTTTTCATGTGTTTTGTTAGATCACTCTTGTATCGTGTCTTATATTCGCACATGGCACATGAGTAAGGTTTAACGATAGTTTCTTGTATGACCTCAACCTGAAAAATAGACAATTTTATCAGATTAATATTCTATTTAATTATAAAATTGTATAAAGAAAATTTGAACTAGATTTCATCTTGATTTTTTACGTAGAACTAAATTTGACAAGCATTTCAAATATGCGAAAGTAAAAAAAGCTTGGTAAAATTCAGTGATTTAGCCAACTAAAAGTTTTGTTAAGGACGGGAGGGGGGGGGCTTAGAGAAAGTCTTTCGTGAAAACGAAAGGATAGATATAATTTGCAATGTTCACTGTTCAGCAATGTTGATATTTGGATATAAAACATTCTTCACGGACCAACATTATTTTTCTGTACTACCCAGTAGAGTAGACGTGAGAGAGACAGAGCTCAAAAAGAAATCAGCTTTTACATTGCGTTTTCGGAGTCCGGTGAAAGCAGAAACATCAGACAGAATGAAAAAATAAAATAATAAACCCCCTCATCTCCCCTACAATTAAAACAACACAGAATCAATGGTTTTCCTGAAGATAAAAAATATAATAAATTTGAATAATACACCCCCTCATCACCAGAAACAATGATTTTGCTAGAAAAAAAGTTATTAAAACTTATATATGAATACCTTGTACTTTATTTCCTGGTCAGCATCACTTGTTTCCAACGGAATAAGAGTCTAAACAAATACTAATCAAATTTCCCCATTACATTTAGTAAAGATAAAGAGAATTTCAATATTTATTAGTTTCTTAATCTAGACAGAAACCCGACCTAAGTTCAGAACTTTTGGACGAGATAGCGCTGATCTTCATTCTTTTAACTCAATATCATATATCCACAACGAATACTTACATTTTTAAGCAATTAAGTGTGCTTAATCAATGAAAAAAGTCAACTCGTATTTTCGCGATCTTTTCTTGCGTAAGAGAAATTTTTAAGTGTATTCTAATTGGTTGGACCTCATGATAGAAATACGATCAGATTAGCATAACCCGTCGGACTACAACGGATACGGATTAACAGTATAAAAGTTTTTGGGCACTGTTCAGTAAAGGGGGAAGAATAAATATATTGAAGATTAGGAATATACAGTACATTTGGGAGGGGTGTTCAATATTTGTAATGATTCTAATGTTATTGCTCAATCTTAAAAATGTTTTTGTAAAATTTTCTACCCCTGCACTGACAACCTTCAGAGGCATAAAACAAAATAGCAAGGTGGGTATGATGTTTGATGTTGGGGAGGGGGGGGCGGGGGATTTAAAAATTTGACATCAAAAGACTACTTCTTTCATTCTTAATGCTACTCTTTACCGATTTCATTTATTTCTCCTAAAAATATTTTTTCCTCAATTCAGCGAATTAAATCATAAAAAATTTTTCCCACTCCTCGCAAGGATAAATATCTTATTAAGGAAAATGATTTTCAAAAATAGGGAGGGGGAGGAAACAGGCTTTTTTGAGAAAATATACACCCCTGCAAATTAGCCAAATATTTATCCCCATTTAGTGCCATTGATTGTTTGTGTATGACTAGAAACTGTGCAGTATCAAAGTATATTTTACCACTGTTTGATGTTCCTGTGAAGTGCTCTCTTTCGCGATATTTTCCTAAAATTAGATAAAATTTAAAAAATTGTAAATATTTTGACGAAGGAATGAATAATCAACATTTTCTACAATTAAATTTTTTCAGCAATACATCTCATAATGCTTTAATAATGAGGACATAATGAATTTTTTTATCGTATACAAATTATTATTCTAATAGCGAAAGCCGAATACATTTACATTATTGATTAGCAATAATAAAATATCATTTCTACTTCTCAGAAAATAAAAAACACATTAATTTAGGTTAACTTAAAATATTTGCAGAAAGAATTTAATTGTATTATATCATTTAATAACCAAGTAAATTTGATGAAGGGATTTATATGCTTCTCTGGGGAAATAAAGGGGAAAAAAGAATAAGAAATAACAAAGAGAGAGAATATATTTGCCAATTAATATGCAATTTGTCAGTTTTCCTTAAATTTCTTTAAAACACCTTACCCTGCCTTGCCCGTAACTTAATTATTCCGTCCTAGTATAAAATTCCTCCCACATGCGGTTTAAACTAAATTTCAACATAAAAATGATATTTGTCTTCCATTATTTCAGGATTAAGTAGGGAGAAGACAATTTCAAGACCGAATGCTGCGGCTAGGACAGGCTAAGGTTGCCGAGCGCTGCGGCTAAGCCATGCTAAAGACCGAGCATCGCGGTTGGGATAGACTTGGGGGCTGGAGCTGTGACCCACAAGTCCAACTAGGATTATGTGTTGCATAAAAGAAGCATGTAAAAAATTATGGGAGGAGGAGGGGGTCCAAAAATCTTTTACCAGTAAATTACCCTCACCTCCGGTTCTGGTTTGAATATTTTCAAAACAGGTTCTTCCTCCGATTCGACTGAATACTTCAGATGAAGGTTGGATCGTTTTCTAGGATGGATCCAGGACTGATCTCCAGGATTAGACTCCAGACGAGACGACGATGCAATATTCTCCATACTCGTCCTTCTCGTCTCTAATTTAGAAATATATGTGGGCTTTATATAATTATACGGACTGTCGGTAACTTATCTAGCCATTTTTTTCTTTCTGAAATAAATAAACATGTTTATTCTCCAGGCTATCAAATAGTGTATAAATGTAAAATAATTGTTCGTCAAGATCGACTCAATATGTATCTTTATATACCTTCAGCTTCAGGTATTTAAAGGACCAAGTTGCAACTAATACATGTTGTAACATATTTTAAAAAAACACCGAAAATACCTATTGATTCAATGTAAACGTAAACAAAAGCCTATTAGTTGGAAATAATCATTCAGTAAGATATCTTATCCGAGGCTCTATTTTCCAAACATAACGTCATCCGACGCACACTCACACATCCTAAACTATGCATGGCTCTGTATTTAAGGGGTCAATGTTCTTAATAGTAAAGCTTAAAAGTTGGTGTTCAACCCTTTAAAATTTTGAAACATTTTTTTTTAAAAATACTTATGAACTTTTTGAAATATTTTGTTTGCAGTTTCGAAAAAAAAGTATGGAATTAGTATTGTTTTAAATCATTTGTTGAATTTTTTTATCAATGTATAACTAAAGCCGTCTTTTATTATCAAGCCCGAATGCCGCAAGTGTTGAAAGAATTGCTTCAAATTTGAAATAATTTTAAATCAAACAGAGCTCGTTCTCTCTATAGCCAATGGTCGTGTACACTTTGGGGGGGGGGACGATAGTTTGGCCGCTAGATGTCTCTCGTATCTATCAGATAAGAATGATCGGACATTCAAAACAGAGATAACTGTTAACATAGATATATTTTGATACAACTAATTTTGTTGCTTTATACTTCTAGAGCTTCATTATAAATTTGAAGACGACGTTTGCGCTCAATTTATGACTTTAAATAGCCAAATAGACCTTAAACCAGAGCCCGCGTTCTCTATAGATTGGTCGTGTATTTCACGTACTATAGGGGACGATATGTTGGCCGCTAGATGCCTCATGCTAATTTCTTAACTGATAGATAGATAATTTCTCCGTACACTTGCCGACCATATTTAGGAGACGTCAAGTTGTCGACCAATGTAGTTTATGGAAGGAATTTTTCCCGATCCCCCCTAGGGGGGACATAAGTTAAAAACCCAAGAGGAGGGGAAGGGAAGGAAAAAAGTAAGGGAAAGGGTAATAGCGGATATAAGGGAAGGGAAGGGTGGGTTAGGGGGAACTTATAAGGAAGTGGATAAGTAGAGAAGGAGATAAGAAGGAAAGGAGATAGGAAGGAAAGGTGGTAGGGAAGAGGATAAGTAGCGACGGGGAAGGTTGAGAGGGAAAGAGCAATATAGGGAACTACAGAAGGGACAGGGAAGAGAAGTCGAAGGGAAAGGTAAGAGGAAGGCAGTATAGATAGGAAAGGGGAATGTAGAGAATCGATGGAAGGTTGGCAATGGCAGAAAAAAAAGTGAAGGAAAGGGGAATAATATAGGAAAGGGAAGGGCTGGAGCTCTTTTCCTCTACATAACTACATAAATTTTTCTAAAATCAGAGAGTTTTTCACAAATAATTTCCCCCAATTGTTATAATGCAGCAAAAAAAATGTCAAGAATTTTTCGAGCTCCACGCACAACTTAATAATAAATATGATAAAAGAATGCTCATTACTCAATTATTTTTTAAAATAGTCAAACCTACGAAAANTACTGGAGTAATCTAAATAATCTGCAATCCCGACTTTTTTGCCATTGCCACCATACCTGTACCCAAAGTTTAAACAAATTTTAGGGATTTTTATGTACTGCAATATAATTATATTAAAATATTATATCTTTTCAGTTCTCGAACTTGGGAAAGAAAATAAAAAAAATAGGAGGGAGGGAGGAAAAGAATAAAAAAATTGGAATTATATACACCCCTGTAGTTTGGTCTATTTTATTTCATAAATATGAAGGTATAAATATAAATGTTATTTTCAAAAATTATTAAACCGTGTAAATTATAAAAATTGACAGTTCTTATCATCTATCACAACAAACGTTCATTTTCATTCCACCATGCCAGGCCAGGACTAGGAAACTTTTTAATTCTTGATTAAACAACAAATATTAAACTAATGGCAATATTCATGTATAAAGTATACATTGTTCTAACTAAAAGTATTTAGCAATTAATTTGATCAAGTCATGACAAACTGTTAAATTCTTAAAAAATGTGGTATGTGTGATGGGAAAAAATGAAAAATTTAGGACATCAAAAGGCCAGTTTTTTTTATTCTTTTTGATACTTTTTAGTTTTTAGAATCTTTTATTCTCCCCTTAAAATCATTATTTTTCCTTTGAAAATTATTTTTTCTCTTATTCAGCAAATTAAACCCTTATCAAAATATACGAGTTCCGGCGGAAAAGAATAAAATGATTATCTATAAAAGGGGGGGTGATTTTACAAGAAAATATACACCCCTGGCAACACTCAGAATGAACCACAACTGATATAAAACATCAGAGAACATTGGATTACATTTTATCTGATCACAATGTTTTTAAGGATATTTTTTTATCCCAAAAAATATGATCGTTTTGAACCGATTACAACTGGTTTAAACGTTGAATATTACACGGCTTGCAGAGGAACAATTTATCCAGGGGATAACATTCATGACCGGGTTTCCTACTGTCAAACACGAGGCTGCAATCCTGAACACAGATTTAATTCAATTTCAAGATTTTTTGGGATTAAGTTTCAGGGTATTTTCCGAAAATAAAATTTTTCTCAAAAAAAATTCAAAAAACGGAGGAAAACTTGTCAGAAACATTTCCTTTACCCGGACCCCCCCCCCCCCTAAAAATCTTTAAAAGTCATCATTCAAAAAATCATTTATTGACCTGGCATTTAAAGCAAGATGGATGAAAGTCAGATCCTTGAACTCGAACCCGTTCTGCAGTCGTCTCTCCAGGTCCAGGAACTATAGGTTCTCCGCATCCACTGCACTTAGCAGCATACTTCCTGACAAATATATTTTCTTCTTGTCAACTTCATCAAACATCAAACAAATAAAAAATATTTTTTAAACCAATTTTAGTTTTGAAAAATTTAACGAATTCAGTTTATCAAATAATTTCTCTGTAAAATGTATCCGAGATGGAAAATTGAAAATAGAGAAGATAGTTCAATTTTAGTACGCCTTGAGATTAAAATAAACCATCTCATTTGTTTGAGTTGATTTCGGCGAATTAACGGGACTGTAGATGTAATTCTAAGTTACTTTCCATTTTTTAAAGTAGCATGCCCGATTCACAACAGTAACTGCTTTGATAAAGAATGAATGCTATCATTTGGGGGTTTTCTATACAAGTGACTAGCGGTTTTCGATGATATCTTTCACATTATTGATCAGTTAAAGATTTAACGGTACTGTTGTGAATTGGACATACCCCTTTTTTTTATTAAATGACGGGTCACATGAAATTACTATGGCCTCTGAATAGATTTAAAAACCTCTAAGTACTACCTCTGGAAGTCCTTAGTACAGTACACCTTCTGATCCTCATCCTGGGAGAAGGAGACCCCGGCCAGGTTCATCCCGCACACCTACACAGTACACATTGTATAATAGACATTACAATGAAATGTTTATTTGTGGTTTTCCTTTCATATGAATTGGCGCAACCGGGGGAAGTAGTGGGGGGAGGCGAAGAAAATTTTTTATTGCGCATATTCCAAAAAAACTAAAAAAAATGACAACCTTTTCACTCTTGTCTACCAATTTTACACAAGATGATAAACAGGACTTGGACGGTGATAATTTGTTTTAAAGGCTTTAAATGCTTTTTAAATTAATTTAAAAATGCTTAACAGTTTAACTATATTTATATTTGTTGATAATTCTTCATAGAATTAACTCAAAATTTTTGATAAATTGATAATTTTTTAGAGTTTTAAACATTTAGACCACATTTTGGAATTCTTAGAATAAGGGATTTATCTTGTTTATCGCTTTGACCTTGTCATTTCATTGTCCTTTGATTTTTCATGTTTATGGGCTGGGAAAACCTTGTAGAAGGGAAAACCCATGAATTTTTCATTAAATTTCCCCAAAACACTTTGAACTTATTGTTACCGTGCAGTTGAAACAGGTTGGATGAAAAACTTGATCTCCAAGCTTTAGAAGTTTTCCTTCAACTCCTCCTCCACATATTCCACAAGCAGCAAGTTGTTTTTTATAATCCTTGTCACAAAACGGTTTATCATTGATCTTGTAAAATCCACCAGTTAGCGTGGTTCCACAAACACTACACGCCTCCAAACTTGCCTAAAGAAACAAGTAATTTTTAAATTTAGTGGAATTCATTGAATGTAATGAAAATGAGTGGAAAGCTCTGAAAATTACTTAACCATTTGAATTTAAACCCAGTTTTTTTCAGATACTAAACTTTCTTTATTAAAGTCAACTCACTTAACTTAAACTTTAAAAACCAAGCTAAGAAAATTCCCGTGGTTGTACCAAGTTCCCCAATATATTTTATAACTTTTATACTTACCTTGTAGTCCTTCTCACAGATGAAGTTGTTTCCGCTTGTAAAGTAAGTTCCGGTCAATTCTACCTCACAGATACTGCACTGAAATTATACATATTTGCTCCAAAGGAATTGAGTATTTGCCACTAACACACATTTTCTTATCCCTATTTCTTTGCAACCTAATGGTGTAAACCTTTGATATTTCAAACTTAGATTTTTTGATCTAGAAGAATTCAGAGTTTAAAATATTTAAAGTCTACGGTATTGGGTTGCAAAGATATAAGAAAGAAAAAATGAGAGTTAGTGGAAAAGAATCAATTTCTTTGCAGAAATGAGTTTAGTTAATTCATCTCTCGTTGGTAAAAAGTAGGTTTATATTTTCTGACAAATCATTTACCCTCCTCAAAGTCCTGTACTGACTCTCATGTGAAAGCAATATTGTCAAAACATGTTATTTAGGTATCACTCAATAAATCTTCTTGTCCAAAAAAAGTTAGAATACTTCCTTTGTGTAATGTTTAAAAAACCTGTTGCAATTCTAATGTTTAATGCACGACGAACTATGTGGCCAGGATTAAAGAGTGCTATGGAAACGCCTCACCACGGAAATGACTCAAAAAAGACTCATAAACTAATTTAAAGTCGAATTCTCACATTAAAGAAAATTAAGTTTTTTCAACACTATTTTACCGTTAATTTAGGATAGGTTAGGTTGCACCGAAGGCTACGGAGGGGGCCGGGCTAGGACGTGCTAGGAGGTCGAGCGATACGTCTAGAACATGCTATGGGGCCGCTTGCTGTGCTAGGACAGACTAGGGGGCCAAGCGCTGCGGCCATGGCTGTGAAAATCGTTAGAATATAGTCTTTTTAATGAGAGAAGACGACATTAAATTAGTTTTGAGTCAATTTTTTAAGGCATTTCCGTGGTAAGACCTTTCCGTGGTTAGGCGTTTCCATAGCTCCGGATTAAAGTAGATTGGAAAAAAATCTCATGTTATTTCAGAAAAATTATCCAACTTCTGAGCAAACCTTCATGCAGTAAGTGTGAAAGTACTTGTCTCCAGACTTCAAAGAATCTCCAATTATTAAACCCTGGCATTTAGAACATCTTTCTCCATTCTCCTGAAAATAAAGAAACTGATTTCTTCCCTCAAACTTCGATTTTCATATCTCTATTTATCAATCTTTCTAATGTGGTTTAAATTCTTAGTTTTACTTATGGCCTGCAATATCAGGTTGTAAAGATATATGAATTATAATATTCGCAATCTTTTTTATATACTGTAAGGTAACTACCTCAAAGCAGTTATCACAGTAAGGAGAGTCTTTCATGGAGTTAAACCTGGCCTGAAAAAAACATGAAAAATCTCTTTCCAGGTTTTTCATATGTATTAAGCATTGGTTTTTATTTTGATTTTCAGTCTTTTCCCATTTGAGCTGTTTTGATCTCCGTTCCAAAATTTTCGACTTTTTTATCCAATTTTTTTTTTATTATTTAACTTTTCAAAATTAGAAAACTTTAAGAATTTACCTGCAAGACTTTTCCACAGTCCGTACATTGAAAGCATCCCTGAAATAATGATAAATAATAGTCAGAAACGGATTAGGGTGAGTGGGGACGTCGCCCCCCAAGGAAAAATTAGGAGCGCAAAAAACGAGAGCGCACACCTTCTATCCTTAATACGAATTTAAAGAATAAATTCAAAAAAATGTTTGCCGGCGGTTCACTCAAAATGAAGATTTAAAAAAAAGTCCATTTATCTTGATAACACATTTTCCACCTTTCACCCACAGCTGGTCATGGTTTTCACATAAAATTGACCATACTTCTAGTAAAAAAATCCAGGGGAGGGATAAAAATTTCGACGCGCTTTTCCACCGCCTGAAAAATATCGTAAGCTGCCCCTGATCATAGTTAATGAAAATCATATTTAACAACTAACATACAGGGTGTCCCAAAAAACATGGGAATTCAGTGACGAATTCGATATCGTCTTTGTTATGAATTAGCAGTGTAATACCTAATTTCAAAATCCATAATATTATTATGTCTGCTAGAGTTTATTTTATGAAAAGGGTTAAAGACTGCAAAGATGTGTCTATAATGTCTCCGCAAGATGAACAGTGAAGACGGACAAGTTTACTCTGTTTGTATACTGCAATTTTCTTGTTTTACTAAGTATACAACCGTATGCAGTCAAAACATAAACAAACAAAATGTGAACATAGCAGACGAAACTCTTACAGATTACAGCTTTCTCAGTAGGTATCACTATACTAAATCAAAGAATTGTTTGAAAAGACGATATCGAATTCGTCACTGAATTCCCATGTGTATTGGGACACCCTGTATTAAATTAAATACTATGGCATTGGCTACCTTATGATATGCACGGTTCATGGCTAAAATGGCACCGTAATCAACCAGATCTCCACATTTAAAGCATTTGTCTAGAAAAAATTTAAATTATAAGTTTTATCGATATTAAATCTGTAATTTATATTACCTTTGCTAAATGAAGAGGCATCCATTTCAGGGGCTGAACTATTTTAAAAATTTCCATTAAAAACAAAATTAAAAACTCAGTTTTTGTAGCAAATATTAAAATATTAGATGATTATCTAGGATTTAGAAAGTTCGAAATAAACTCAACTATTAAAAACATTATATGCTGGGAAAAGAAAAAAATTTGTTGAAAAAAAATATAAGTTAAAAGTGCCTGTAGCTCCTGTAGCTGTAGGTACGCAAATGGTAAAATTAAGAAGTTTTGAATGAGAAAGTTGAATTTCTATTTAAAATTGACTTTTAAATTCCTAATTTTAGTTTTGCTTGTAAGATTTGAAGTACTCTCCTTTCTTCCGTCTACTCGATCCTCTAGGTTTTATTAAAAAATTATTGAAAACAAGTCTAATTTTTTGGGGAAAAAATGAGTTGCACCCCCCCCCCAGCCTCCCCCCAGTACAAATTACAAACGTCAGCTAAGGTAATGCATAAAAATGTCCAATTATTCACAGTAAAAATTTTCCATCTATATATAAATTTGGCTTGTCTGTCTGTTTGTATCCAATAAACGTCAAAACGGCTAAACCGATCGGGCCCACATTTTTTGTGGGACATCTAGGGACCCCATGGAAGGTTTATGAATGATTGAAATTTTAAATATTTCTTTCCATCAAAATTCGATCTTCATTAAATTTTTTAAAATTTTGAAAATCCACAAAAATTTTTGTGAAAATCCGCGAATTATTTTTGTTTTGTTTTACGATGTACACAAAGAGAACATGTTCACAATTAATTTAGAAGACGGGCGCGAAGCGCCCTCTAAGGCTAGTCTATATATAAATTTGGCTTGTCTGTTTGGGTGTCTGTCTGTTTGTTTGTGTCCAATAAACGTCAAAACGGCTGAACCGATCGGGCCCAAATTTTTTGTGGGACCTCACGTGACCACAGGGAAGGTTTGTGAATGATCAAAATTTTAAAAATTTGTGTTTAAAAGGTTTTTATTTTTGAAAATATTGAAAATGCGCAAAAAAATAGTATGAAATCCGCAAACTTTTTTGTTTTTGTTTTATTTTGTACAAAGAGAAGAAGTTCAGAGATAAAGCCACAATTAAAAGTTGAAATAGAAGATGGGCGCGAAGCGCCCTAAAAGCCTAGTTTAATAATATTTCTATCTCCATTGAAAAATTCTTGATTTGATGTTTGAGGAAAAATGGGATAATTATGACGGATCCAAGGGTTTATTAACATTTTCATTTTTAATCTACATCCTAGGCAAAATAGAAATTACTTGTAAGGAGAATGAGAAATTAAAATCTTTTTTAGATCACATAATTGAATTCCTTTTGAATAGTAAGTCTTTGAAAAACAGTAGGTTAAAACCTATTTTTACCTTTAAAGTGTAAATCAACAATATTGTCTTGGGATGACTTCCTATCAATAGAGAACCCATTGTTAAGGGATCGTTTCTGCTCAGGAGACGGTCTCCATTCAGTAGATTGTTTCCGATCATATTGGAAGTCAGCAGATGGTTTCCGGTCAGGAGATGACTTCCGGTCAATAGATTGTTTCCGGTCAGTAGATTGGAAGTCAGCAGATGGTTTCCGGTCAGGAGAAGAATTACGGTCAGTAGACTGTTTCCGGTTTAGAATAGAAATCCTCCTGACTCCATCTTCTACCTGAGTCTCGTTAAAGCTTGCTAGGGGTTTCTCTGTAGAAAGTTTACGATCAGGGATTAGTTTCTTCTCTGCAACATTGTGAACCAGACTGTTAGCATATCCAACACTACTGTAATACACAACAAAATTTAAACTTTAGAAACTTTTATAATTTTTAAGANAAGCATTCTCATACTGATTAGATTTAGGCTTCTGAGTTTCTGCCTCTATCTCTGCACGAGAAACATCTCCTTAACAAAAAAGGTTAATAAATTGATTTTGCTAAACAGATTGATTGATTTATTTATAAACTACTATTTATCTGAATATGATCTATTCCTTTACCTGAAAATGACTTATTTAATTACCTAAAATCATTTTTTTATTTACATGAAACGAATTTTTTATCTAAAAAGATTTATTTGTTTACCTTATTAGTTTACTTATTTACCTATTTATTTGAACAAAACTGATCTACTTTTTTTACCTGAACTTGCTTGATTAATTTTCCCTGGGTTGAACTTAACCGGTCTGTAGGCCAGACCCTCAGTGGAGGAGTTGAATCCCTAAACCATTTAAATTTATATTATACTCTTTACAAAATGTAAATTTTCAAGACTACGTAGTTAATTGAAAAATTAAATTTACATAATATTTTCCAAAAAGAATAAACGGAAAAAAATCTAATTATCTATTAATGAAATTAGAAACTAAAAGTTCAGTAATCTTAAGAAGGTATGTTTTAGTAAATTAAATCTATAATACTAGGTGATTAAAGTTTTTCAATCAACAAAAAATTTCTATATATTGTTCTTTAAAAATCCGGATTTGACTGACAATATAATTAGACGTGTAGAGTAGACATTAGGATGACCCCCTTTCAAAAAACATTTATTTTGTGATTTACTTTTTCAATTGAAAATACAAATATTGAAGAAAAAGTTTTTGGTGAAAAGTTTTCTCAAATATTTTAAGATGGAGTTTTAGTAAAATCTGTTTATTTCTTGTAAGATGATGTTTAACGTATAAAATTACATCATGATAGAATTTGTTTTGACTTTTCTGTGTTGAAATATGAGTGTGCAATATTAAATATACAGTTGATTTCTTTTCACTTTTAAATTACAGCTTGCAAACTTTAATAACATAATGCAAGATACTAATAAGTGATTTTTTTTAAATTCAGCTTTTTAATCAAAAATTTACATCTCCCATCTCTTAAAAAACAATACAAGACAAGNAAGAATGTAAATATCTTGAACCATAAACCCTAGTCCACAAATCATGTTTTACTTATCAGAAAAAAAATATCTGTAGAATTTTTAAATTTTAATATTAAGACCATTTTGTTTTGTCTTTTATTTAATTAGAATATATAATAAATAGTATTTATCAATATATGCAATATATATATTATTATATACTAAACAAAGTAAAATAAAAATTTAAACATGAGACGTAACTTATTTTTTATAGTTCAGCATTTCCTTTGTTTTCTTCGTGCTGTCTGCCAATTTTAGGAAAAACAATAAAACATGGTTACAATTGAATTCTACACCAGTATTGAGTTTCAATTGAGAGGATTAAAATTAATTCTTAATATCTTTTCATTAATAGTAGTTATGATAGTAACAAACAATAACAAACCTTGGGTCCCATCGGCTCAGGTGATACAGACTTCAATCCTAGAAATAAAAGAAAATATTGTGTACAGGGGTAACCAGAAAACTATGCAATCATTGTCGTCTTCTTTCTTTTTACTTTTAATTGTTGTAATTTATAGATCTGAAATTGTTCAGAGCTGGGAACTTTTGAATTGGATATCCAGCACAGAAATTCAGCAGCTCAACTCGATATCCCGTGGACATACAAAAGTAAAGAAGATAGGATCAACTTTTGAAATCTTCAGCTAGGAAATTCCAGACTTAAATACCAAAGACAGACGACAGAAATCCAACAATTATCTGGTTATTACTGTACACAAAGATAATGCAATATATTTCAAGTTTTTACAGTTTACAGAAAGGAGGCTTAATAAAACTAATAAGCTAAAAGAAATGATATCAAAGCTAAGAAACGCAAATAATAAATTTAACCAATTTTGTATAGAAATTTAAATACACCTTAATATTCTCATGCTGATGTTTTTTTAAGATATGATTAGTAAGGCTGATATTTACATAAATCTATCTCTAGAAGCTGGGATGGTTCATGTGTTGTACTTTACCGCTTTGCCGTCTATATTCTGTAGGTATACTGTACAACTTGCTTTATTAGCCTGGAAGTTAGTCCAGTACTTTAATGAACCGGAGTTTTCAATGGCTGATTTTATTTGTTCTTTTATGTCATTTCTTCAAAAATATTTCCTTGAAATGAGATGGATATAAAATATTACAGCAAGTATTAGTAACATGTACTGGAGTATGTATAGGACTTTTTGTACAGTCATTATCTATTTATGTCTGTTTAATCGTATTCCTTGCTCTCAATCCACTCTAAAAGTTGCATGCTCCGAGCCGGTACAACATGCACTGTATATGAATTCAGTCGTACTGTCAAGTCTGAACTACCAAGTGTAGAGTCGACTAAGCACGTTTTATGAAACAAATGTAGCCTGGCGAGATCACATTCATATTTTTATACGCAGTGAATGGTTACAAGGTTAGGACCCTAGATAATAAACATCACGTATATATACAAATCCTTCCTGTGTCCACCTTCACTGTGCATTCAAATCTTTATCAGTCATCTTCCAACACTCCCTCAAAACTTCATATTCTAATGTATTATTTTCCTTCTAACCCATTACAGTCTACCCTCTTTTGAACCCTCTGAACCCATGAAACGTTTTGTTTTTGTGCCTAGAAATTCAAGACATGGGTTTTGAAAAAAATAAAATTTTAGAGATGTTCAAAATTAGCCTTAATTATGCAAATATTATTAAGAAATGTAAGGATTATTTGGCTTAAGTAAGGTGGCAATTCAGACTTAAACGTGTACTGTAATTATTCTTTTGTATGTCTATTTTACAGATAAGTAATCAGAGTTTATTAGATTAACTCTGAAACTAATCCTGTTAACTCTGTATTTTCTAATCCTCTTAGGACAGAAAATAGTATTTTAACACTTTACAGCAGCGTAATTAACAGTCTGCATAAATGAGGCCGAGTACAGTAGAGTTTTTGTGAACATTTCATTCATTCATATTTTTATTCAACTACAAAGCACGAGATAATACAAATAAAAAAATACNACATATTGAGTCCTATTTACTAAATAGTTTTGAAACCATGTGTTAGCTACATTTTTAAAACCGTAATACTCTAGTTTTTTTAAAAGAATATCTAAGTTGCAACAGTCAAAAGCTTTCTTAAGATCTAAAAAAATTCCCAGTGTAAATTCTGGTTGGGGTTTATTAAGATTTTCGTAAATTTTATTCATTAGGTGTAGTAAAGGTTGATTAGTATTATGTTGTGGTCTAAATCCATATTGATGTTGATAGAAAATCTCAAACTTGTTAAGATATTTAAACATTTGAGTCGCAGCTATTTTTTCAAGAAGTTTACTTAGCGCTGGTAGAATACTAATTGGTCTGTAGTTATTAAATTTATCTTTTTGTTCTGTTTTAAAGATAGGAATTATTTTTGCACATTTATAATCACTAGGGATATATCCTGTTTTAAAAGAAAGGTTAAACAAATGCGCTATAGGATAGACAATACTTTCAATTATTTCCTTCATTTGCTATATTTGAAAGAATATATTTAAATTCAGGGTGGGGCTGGTTTATAGGCGTCTGTTTTTGTCATTTGCGTGATGTCCCGTGAATTGTTTTGTCTGTATGTGCATGTTTGCCTGTAAATGAAGCAATATATCCGTCCTGTGTAACGAATAACTATAACCACGGAAGCACTATTTGATTGATAGATTGTTTAATATCAAAGACAATAATAAAAAATATTATACAGGAGTCATATTATAGTAAAATTAACTTCAATGTAAAATATATTTGAGCAAAAGATTTTTTAAACGAAACAAACTGCAAACAGTCTTTAATATCTAATACAGTGTATGGAAGACGAAATTCAAAACTATTTATCAACTGTTTCGTGGGAAACCCTGTTTATCCCTAACACTCTTTTCACTTATATTTCCCATTCGCATCCTCGCGTCCCACCATTTTCCTTTTATATTCGCTAATTCTACATTCTTAAAATTTTTTTTTAATGCTCGATTATGATATTACCAAAGTCTGTATGCCATTTTTGTTTTTGTTTTCTCAGATATATTATATTTGTACACAAAATGTTTCTTAATTAATTTGGTTAAATAACGGTTCTTCAATTCGAAATTTGATTCAAAAGTTGATCAAGATTCTTAGGAACCAAACTTAGATTTTCAGAACCAGGTATAGATTCTAAGGAACCAGACCTAGATTCTTGGAAACCAGATCTAGATTCTTAGAAACCAGATCTAGATTCTTAGCAATCAGCTCTAGATTCTTAGGAACCAGATCTAGATTCTTAGAAACTAGATCTAGATTCTTAGGAACCAGACTTAGATTCTTAGGAATCAGATCTAGATTCTTAGGAACCAAATCTATATTCTAAGGAACCAGATCTAGATTCTTAGGAACCAGATCTAGATTTTTTGGAACCATATATAGATTCTTAGAAACCAGATCTAGATTCTTAGAAACCATATCTAGGTTCTTATCAACCAGATCTAAATTCTAAGTAACCAGATCTAGGTTCTAAGGAACCAGATCTAGGTTCTGAGAAACCAGATATGCATTCTTAGGAACCAGATCTAGTTTCCTAAAAACCAGATTTAGATTCTTAGGAACCAAATCTAGATTCTTAGAAACCAGATCTAGTTTCTTAGGAACCAACTCTAGATTCTAAAGAAACAGATCTAGGTTCTGAAAAACCAGATCTAGATTCTTCTAGGAAACCAGTTTTAGATTCTGAAAAATTAGATCTAGATTCTAGATAACAAAGTCTAGATATAAATTAATTGATTAGATTAGTTTCAAGATCAGATAATCTGGATAAAATACATCTTAAAATATTTAAAAGCTTATCTAGTACTTGGTTACCAGCAACACTTCAGGGCAAAAAGATATTTGAAAAGATTAGAATAAAGCTTACCATGGAACGAGCGAAGTGAAGTTGATGAAATACATTTATAATTTACCTACTCTGGACAGTGAGATAATTTTAGTTTATGTTGAAAATATCTATGTTACCTGCTCTAGACCTTGAGATAGGTTGGAGTTTAGGTTGAATATATCTATATTTACCTGCTCTAGAGATAGTTTGGAGTTTAGGTTGAATATATCTATATTTACCTACTCTGGGGATAGGTTGGAGTTTAGGTTGAATATATCTATATTTACCTACTCTGGGGATAGGTTGGAGTTTAGGCTGAATATATCTATATTTACCTGCTCTAGAGATAGGTTGAAGTTTAGGTTGAATATATCTATATTTACCTACTCTGGGGAAAGGTTGGAGTTTAGGTTGAATATATCTATATTTACCTACTCTGGGGATAGGTTGGAGTTTAGGTTGAATATATCTGTCCTCATCCTTAAAATAAACAGTAATACAAGGACACATAGTTAACAGCAGAATAATTGTCGTCTTCACTTCAAACCTATTTTTACCGCTCATAAAAAGAAGTTTTCTGTTGATTAAGAATAAAAAGCTTTATGATATATCCTACTGAGCAAGAATGAAAAAATATAAGACTGAGCAATGATGATAAAAGCAAGGTTAAAGTATTGAAACACCCTTTTATCTAAAGAGCAAGGTTGTAGACTTGAAACACCCTATTATCTAAAAAGCAAGAATGGAGACTTTAAACACCCTATTATCTAAAGAGCAAGGTTAAAGAATTAAACACCCTCTTATCTAAAGAGCAAGGTTGTAGACTTGAAACATCCTATTATCTAAAGAGCAAGGTTGTAGACTTGAAACACCCTATATTATCTAAATAGCAAGGTTGTAGACTTGAAATATCTTATTATCATAAGAGCAAGGTTAAAGAATTTAAACACTCTACTATCTAAAGACCCTGGTTAAAGAATTGAAACACCTGAATTATCTAAAAACCAAGGTTAAAGAACTGAAACACTACTTTCTAAAGAGCAAGGTTGTAGACTTGAAACATCCTATTATCTAAAGAGCAAGGTTAAAGAATTGAAACACTCTACTTTCTATAGAGCAAGGTTGTAGACTTAAAACACACTATTATCTAAAGAGCAAGGTCGAAGATGGGAAACAGCATATGAACTAAAGAGCAAGGTTTTAGAATTGAAACACCCTATTATCTGAAGAGCAAGGTCGAAGAATTGACACACCCTACTATCTAAAGAGTTAGGTTGTAGAATTGAAACACACTATTATCTAAAGAGCAAGGTTGTAGACTTGAAACACCCATTATCTAAGAGCAAGGTTGTTGACTTGAAACACATTATTATCTAAAGAGCTAGGTTGAAGAATTAAAACATCCTATTATCTAAAGAGCAAGGTTGAAGAATTAAAACACCCAATTATCTAAAGAGCAAGGTTGACGAATTAAAACATCCATTATCTAAAAAGCAAGGTTGTTGACTTGAAACACACTATTGTCTAAAGAGCAAGGTTTCAGACTTGAATCACCCTATTATACAAAGAGCAAGGTTAAAGAATTGAAACACCCTATTATCTAAAGAGCGAGATTATAGAATTAAAACACAATATTATCTAAAGAGCAAGGTTGTAGACTTGAAACACCATATACCCTATTATCTAAAGAGCAAGGCCGAAGTATTGACACACCCTACTACCTAAAGACTAAAGAGCAAGGTTGAAGAGTTGACACACCCTACTACCTAAAGACTAAAGAGCAAGGTTGAAGAGTTGACACACCCTACTACCTAAAGACTAAAGAGCAAGGTTGAAGAGTTGACACACCCTACTACATAAAGACTAAAGAGCAAGGTTGATGCAAGAAAAGAATCTACAGTTTCAGAACACAATGAGCAATTTGCCGGAAATATCCCCTAAAGCCTTTTTCAGATATTGCTTCAAAAATCTGTTCACTAATCATTATGTTTACTTTGTTAAAATAATTGCAAACAAATCACAATTCCCGCCCCACCCCCCTCCTCCTTTAGAGCTTGAAAATGCAGTTAGTGCAAACATTTGCAAGATATTTTTTAATTCAATTAATTTTAATTGAAAAATTTACTACAGCAAATCGTAATAATATTAAATATTTAATATATAGATATTTTTCCATGTCTTTTTGCTTTGTAATTATCTCAATTGATGTAGATTTCTATGACGATTTATTTTTCTTCACGTAAAAAAATATTACTCTCAATTAGATTATCATTTCATAGTTGCTTAATGTTTTGTTACTCAGATAAAAAAGGCCTGTAACTCGTTAAATAAAGGATCACTTAAAACTATGTTCGACAATAAACCATAAACATTTTTATTTGAAATGGATATGGAATTCATAATTATAATCTTTACTTTTTTACAATCTGCATAGGACATGAGTTTTTGCCGCAAATTCTGTTAGGTCAAGCAGTCTAAGTTTGAACTATAAAAGGTTTACATCATATGATTGCAAGTGGAAAACACTTATTTTATTATTTAATCATAATTTAGGACATACCGATTTCTTAGGAGATAGTTTGGAGTAGTCTGGAGGGATGATACTGGGGGGTGGAGGGATATCAGCAGTTGAAGGAGGAGGGGGAGGGGGAGGGAATGGAACTGAAACACAACTCTAAAAATAAAACATTTTCTAGCTTATATTTATGACAATTTGTTCATTATACATAGTTAATAACAGAGTACAAGACGTCAATGACGATTTTGTAGGGAGTATATCCCCGTTTCTTTGTTTACATAAAAAGTGTACTGCAGTTTCTGGGAAGAATGTAAACAATTTACTGCTGCTCAGAGCAAGTTTTTTATTTTCCTAAAAATCTTATTTTGTGCACAAAGAAATGGGTGCCAAGGGTTGTGCTATATACCTGCTTTTCCATAAAAAAGCTGGGAGGGGGAGGCGGTAAATCATCATCATCAACTAAATATATAAAAATACGTTTACATGGAGATACAGAAAACTGAGGGATAAATAACATTTAAGCCATCTTTTGTGTAATTGATTATTATTAGAATGGTTTTCATAAAGATTTTTTATAAATTAAATACTTTTACCAATCGCATGAAAATCGACTAATTAAACGAAACTTGTCTGTGTACACTACACAATTTTGTGCTTAAGTTCGTTGGACTATTCAACATCAAAATAGGACTATTCCACAGTTTTATGAATCTCACTGTGTGCAGAAATAATTTTCGGAAAAATAAATGTACAGATTTACCTCTATTGGTTCCATAGGTTTGAAATACGGGCGGAGGAGGGGGTAGAGACTCTAATTCGTCTAGGAAATAAAAACACTTTAAACTTGAAAAAGGAAAAGAAATTAAAAAAATAAAAAATAAAAAAGAATATAACCTAAAAATATATCAAATAAAGGTTAAATATAATGATAAGAAGAAGTGATTCAAAACACAACCTATTTTAACCTGTCGATAACAGAAAACAAATCTAGGAATGGAATTTCAAAATCATCTTTTGTGGCATATCAAATTTATAGAACAATTCCAATTTATGAATCGAAATTTTCAGCCTGAAGATGGAGATATCCTTATATTTAAATGTTTAATGGAGGATAAGAGGGCATTTCTGTAAAATCGTGAAGGAATTCTTTCTCATTTTATTAAATGGTTTCTACCTGAAGATCCAATCCTGTTAAATTTACTAGACAGTTCTCCCAGTACATTCTGCTTTTCAGCCTGTAATATAGATAATAAAGGGGTTATTAGATATTTAATATTTCAGCCTGTAATATAGATAATAAAGGACTTATTAGATAATTAATATTATAATATAGATAATGAATGGGTAATTAGATATTTAATATTTCAGCCTGTAATATAAATAATAAAGGAGTTATTAGATATTTAATATTTTAGCCTGTTATATAGATAATAAAGGGGTTATTAGATATTTAATATTTCAGCCTATAGATCATAAAGGGGTTATTAGATATTTATTTTTTCAGCCTGTAATATAGATAATAAAGGAGTTATTAACCATTTAATATTTCAGTCTGTAATATAGATAATAAAGGGGTTATTAGATATTTAATATTTCAGTCTGTTATATAGATAATAAAGGGGTTATTAGATATTTAATATTTTAGCCTGTAATATAGATAATAAAGATGTTATTAGATATTTAATATTTCAGTCTGTTATATAGATAATAAAGGGTTATTAGATATTTAATATTTTAGCCTGTAATAAAGATAATAAAGGAGTTATTAGATATTTAATATTTTAGACTGGTATATAGATAATAAATGGGTTATTAGATATTTAATATTTTAGCCTATAGATCATAAAGGGGTTATTAGATATTTATTTTTTCAGCCTGTAATATAGATAATAAAGGGGTTATTAGATATTTAATATTTTAGCCTGTAATATAGATAATAAAGATGTTATTAGATATTTAATATTTCAGTCTGTTATATAGATAATAAAGGGTAGATAAAAACGGGTTACTAGATATTTAATATTTCAACCTGTAAAATAGATAAAAACGGGTAATCACCATTTAATATTTCAGCCGTAATATAGATAACAAAGGGTTTATTAATTTTTATATTTTAGCCTGTAATATAGATAAATAAAATTGAACGGTTTTAAATACAAAATTTTTTCTTAAATCGACAAGTAAGTTATTTCGTTATTTCTATACAAAATTTAAAAAATTCAGAACATTAAATTTTCATTAATACAAATTTTAAAAATGCTTTGAAGGATTAAAATTATATGACTAAATTTGATAAAGTTATACATTTTACAACTGAATTGTTTATCAAAACATTTTTTGACAAAACTTATATCTTGCAAAATTCCCCAAATGCGGCGCTCGTTCTTTAACCTTTAATGTATTTCCACAATATTAATTAGTATTTTTGTTCCATCATGTTGACAATTGTTATCATATGTTCACCCTTATAGCGATGTTATTTTCAAGTTTTTAGATTTTCTTCTGAAAGGAACTGTCGTCGTAATTTTAAGTGAACCTCTATTTATAAAGAGTACCATTGTTTAGGTTATTATTTAGGTTAAATAAATAAATTGTCAATAATGTGAAAGATCGTAGTTTTTTTTATCTTGAAAAGTGTTTATTTCTGATATTTTCTCCATTGCACATGTCACATGGCACAAAGCATATCTAATTCATACTTATTCACCCACAGCTATAAGGGCACCGTTGTGAATTTTACAAAACACTCTTTTGGTGAAGATTCACTAAGAATTACGCTTAGTTATTTCAACATTTACAATGTATGTCTTTTTGGTCCGATTACGGTATAAATTAATAACTCTACTTATACTCTAATTTTCTAATCCCTATATTTTTATCCTTTTACTTGATGATGTAGTTTTTCTTATATATATTCAAACTATAAATTCTGATATATTATAAAGATAAACTTTGACATAACAAAGGTTTACATGATCAGGCTGCAAAGATATAGGAATTAGAAAACCAGATTCAATTCAACAATTCTAATCTTATGATTTTTAATTAAACTATTCGAATATAATTTTTCTGTATCTATAAACTGCATAACATCTGTACATTATAATATTATAAATCTTTAATATAGTATCTATAAACTGCATAACATCTGTACATCATAATATTATAAATCATAATATAGTATTTATAAACTGCATAACATCTGTACATCATAATATTATAAATCTNAAGATATAGGAATTAGAAAACCAGATTCAATTCAACAATTCTAATCTTATGATTTTTAATTAAACTATTCGAATATAATTTTTCTGTATCTATAAACTGCATAACATCTGTACATTATAATATTATAAATCTTTAATATAGTATCTATAAACTGCATAACATCTGTACATTATAATATTATAAATCTTTAAAATAGTATCTATAAACTGCATAACATCTGTACATTATAATATTATAAATCAAAATATAGTTTTGGAAAATTATAAATCACCTTGAATGCTGGCGACTGTTCTGACATGTTTTCTGAAATTTAGAGTAATTTAAATATAAATGTAAAAAATTGAAGAATTAAATATATTTGTATATTTGTTCACCTAATTTATACATATAAATATATTTATATATATAAATTTATAAGATCTAAAGAAAAAAATCATTTGGGTTAGTTGTTCAATTGGATTTGCAAAAATTTTAGGGTTCGATTCTAGATTTCTTGTTTTATCGGAGAGGCAAAAAATAATTGAGAGAAAAACTTGAGCTGAATCATAATTGTCCTTTGTCCGTACAACCTCTCCATTTATGGTTAAACTTCTTGTCTATAAATATATCTAGTTGGACATTTTTATCATTTGGTTTAACTTATAACCTTAGATATTCCGTATGCATACATGGACCGGTTCAAACTGAGCTTACACTTGCTTCTCTATATTTACATTTATATATTTAAAAATAGAATATCTGGTTTATTTATTCTATTCTATTCTATTCTATTCTATTCTATTCTATTTCAAAAGAAAACCTTGGTACCCGCAGCGCTTGGTCCCACAACCTGTTCTTATTGCTGCAGCGCTTGGCCCAGAAATTGTAATAATCCAATCTAAGCCTAAGTATTAGTTTTTATAGTTTTAATCAATTGCTCTATTCAATGTTTTTATTTTTTTTAGTGTGGCCATCTTTTAGGTAAATCATTTTAGTTTTATAGTTTTAATGCTTTAGTATATTTTTATACTTTATTAAACTTATTACATTTTATGTTCTATTTTACAACATTATACATTACCCTCTATTCTTCATTATTCTTTTCTATCTATTCTATTCAATCTATTATATACTATCTATTCTATTTTATCTATTCTATCTATTCTATTCAATCTATTCTATTCTATTCTATTCTATTCTATTCTATTCTATTCTATTCTATTCTATTCTATCTATTCTATTCTATCTATTCTATTATATTCTATTCTATTCTATTCAATTTATTCTATTCTATTCTACTCTATTCTATTCTATCTATTCTATTATATTCTATTCTATTCTCTTCTATTCTTTCTATTCTATTATATTTTATTCTATTCTACTCTATTCTATTCAATCTATTCTATCTATTCTATTCTATCTATTCTATTCAATCTATTCTATTCTATTCTATTCTATTCTATTTATTCTATCCTATCTATTCTATTATATCTATTCTATTCTATTCTATTCTATTCTATTCTATTCTATTTTATTCTATCTATTCTATTCTATTCTTTCTATNTCTATTCTATTCTATTCTATTCTCTATTCTATTCTATTCTATTCTATTCTATCTATTCTATTCTATTCTATTCTATTCTATTCTATTCTATTCTATCTATTCTATTATATTCTATTCTATTATATTCTATTCTATTCTATTCTATTCTGTTCTATCCACGTCTGGTCCTTAGTAAAGGGCCCCACCACTTCAACTGAGAGTGAGAACACCTTATCTACGCTCCAGGGTTTCATTTTATAGCAAAAATTAGGAAAAATAAGAAATGAGAGGGGGACATTAAATACGCTGAAACTTATGCAAGAAACCCTAAATCTTTCACTTTCTCCTTGAGAAAAAATATTAAAGGGAAAACGTAAGTTGTATGTTTATAAGTGAAACCCTGTGAAAAGGATGATTCACCGGATAGATGGATAGATAGATAGACTAGGTGCATCAACTGTTAATGTATATATATATTGCAGTAAAACCTATGCAAAGAGCAGCACAGTGCACAGGACTGACACGAAACCAAGAAACCGAATATGTACTGAGCACAGAGCAGTAAGCAGTAAGAAAACCAACCTGTTTCTGTTTAAAGCTGCGTGTTTAGAATACAACTGAAAATAACATCATTCACCATCTTAGTTTTCAAATCACCATTTGTCTTGAATAATACTTTTATCTAATTCCTACTCCGCTCACAAATCATCAAAAAATGCTCAAACAAAGCAAATACTAAATGGAAATCAGTTTTTGTCACAAAGTCAAATTTTCTAATCCTCAGATCTTCGCAACCTGTTGGTGTAAACCTTTGATATTTCAAACTTAGACTATATTATCTAACATAATTTATAGTTTTAAATATCAAAGGCCTACAATACTTGGTTGCAAAGAGATATAGGAATTAGAAAATTTGAGTTTGTGTCAGAAACTCAACGTCTTTGCTGATTAATTGCAATCAAATCAATATGCATGTTTTTTAATGAATTAGTTATAGCAAATAATAATACAAAAAAGAGATTAAGATGTCTGATGTCAACAATCTAGATATAAATATGATCGGTGTAAACATTAAACTGCATTTAGAAGAAATAACCTAATTGATGCTTGGGATATGTGCAGAACGGTTATTTATCAATTGATTAATTCACAAGAATGTATATCAATGAATATTTTGAGGCTAGTTACTATGCAGGGAGAATTTTGATAGTTCAAATTTTGACCTTTTTTATTATATATCTTTTATTTTATTTGTACAGGGTGTCCCACGAAACATGACAGTATGCAGGACGACTTGAATGTCGACTTGATTTTTGATATAATTTGCTGCGTTTATTTGTCAACCTAATGTTAGAAGTAAATTTCTAGAGATAATAGTCACAAAATTTCCCTTGTCCTGCCATTTCCAAAATGTGGTCTGCCTTTTTTTGTGCTTTCAATATTGCCCGAGATATGAAGAATTTCGTTCAGACTTCGACAATTTTGCTTTTATTTAACAAAATTGAAATCTGAACCAAAATCTTTATATCTCAGGTAATATTGAAAGCACAAAAAACGCAGACCACTTTTTGGAAATGCCAGGGCTAGGAGAATTATGTGATAATTGTTTCAAGATCATACATGTTAAAGTAGATAGAAGACTAAATGTCACAAATAAATTCAATTACTTAAGACGACTTTCAAGTCGTCTTCCTATTGTCATGTTTCGTGGGACACCCTGTATGAAAGGAAGTAAATAAAAAGTATAAAGACACATTTCCACAGCTTTAATGAGAATGATCATTTTTAAAGTGAGATCATTTCATTTCACATTTATACAAAATACATATTTCATTTAGTTTTTATATTAACATATTCTTAGTGTGTTTTATCAAAACCCTGGTTAACATCTATAAAGTATAACTCATTAAGTACTTTACAGGGAAAACAATGTTATTGCAAATTATAGGGATGGTTTCTTAGCAAATTTTCTCAAGAAAACTCTTAGTTAAGTAAAATTTTTAATTGTTGTTATACACGATGTTACCGTCTTTTGAGATAAAACTGTGCAAATTTTTTCACAAAAACTTTGCAGAGCGGAATGTTATTTTACTTGCTTTGTCCCATAGTACAATTATTGCATGATTATCTAAGTAAGATCTATCCTTATGTCGCTACAGTTGGTTTATATGAATTGTGTATATTGGATATGTCATTAATGAACTACATCTCCAAAAAAATTCTATTTTTGCTTTAGAATTAACATGTCCATCTCTCATATATTTATTCCATACAAATTTGATTTTATTTATACAAACCTGTAAATTTTATAGATCGAATTGAAAGGGTATGGATGCAGATTATAAAAAAATCTAAAAGTTTTACTGTAATGATATTGTAATGTGATGCATAAGATTCATTGTTTTGCGTACTAAAATCATGAAATTCTTATGAAATATTTTGTTTTAAGAAATGGTCAAAAATCTAGCCACCTTGCACAAGCAAATGCAATGGGTTGATCATTTATTGAAGCAATTTTTATAAATTTTAAGATTTATCCACGAAAAAAACATATTTTATATAACTTGCATATCATGGCATGGACAGAATTAAATTTTTTTGTCTGAAAAGTAATGATTAATAAGAATACCCATACAAAAAAAATGATAAACCAATATAGAGCGAAAGGAATATCGTCTTGGTTTTATATTCTTTTTAAATGCCGCTTAAGATTAATTGTTTTGTTTTTTTAAAGATATAACTATTGAATACTTTTTATTACAATGAAATACTTTTTTTCAAAAATACAATGTTTTTGTCATGTTTAATGAATAGTACATAAATTTAAGAAATTTCAGATTAAAAGAAATTAAAATATATTTCAAGAAAATTAAAAAGATGAGCAATACTGCAATAACTTTTGCACTTAAATTGGGCGAAAAATACTTAAAATTAAAAATTCCCATTTCCTGGGAATTTTAAGAGATCAGTGCTTTATAAACCGAAGAGAACAATTTCAACCCAAATCCTCAATATTTGGTGAAAACGGTAAATTCCAAAAAAAAAGTTTATGACGAATATTTGATGAAAATGGTGAGAATGAAGATAAGAATGTTTGATACAGATAAAAAGGTTCCACCCCCGCTGTAGAACGGGCAATAGGGACACTGATAGCTTCCACACACTTCACAAACACTTAGAATATACAGGGACGTCGAGTTGAAAGTTCTAAAATTAAAATATTAAAATTAATTTTTTCTGAAACATTTTTTCTTCAGTAATTGAAAAAAAGACGATTACCCTCAAATTTTTTTTTCAACAATTCTTAATATAGCAACTTGAGAAAAGATAATTTAGATAAACAATTGCAAAAAAATACTTTTTTATAACCTTATGACAAATTTCTCCGGTCTCTGAGGTTCAATGAGTAGAACTTGTCTGGTTCTTGTTAAGTTTGCAACAGGAAAGTATCTCCTAAAAGCAGGGGTCAATATAATTCCCAAAAAAGCTGATTTTCTCGATCCCAAAATAATTTTTTGCCCCCAATTTTGAAAAAAAATGCCCCCAATTTTTAAAAAAAATGCCCCC